AGAAAATAAACCTGACGAAATTTCAAAAGGTCGCTGAGATCCCAACGAATGAGAACACTGTATTCTGACAAAAAATAGTGAATGAGATTAAAGTCGGCGTGCTTTTCAGCGTTGTTTCAAGGAACAACTTTCACGGTGGGCGAATCGCGAGCCGTGGAGGTCGAGCGAAATTTTTAAACGCAGAAGTCCAGGGACAAAGGGGAACGCGGATGGTCAGAAGGCGGAGATAAGACGAAGGAACGTGTTACGCGACTAGTCATGCAATTAAGGCGAAACAAAAGGACGTCGAGCCTCTTTTGTCGTGCATGAAAATGCTCCAGCGTTTCTCTTAATTCGTTTTCCTTTATCTTCGAGCCCACGCAACCTGTACATGCGATACGTGTTCGCCTTCGTCTCATTCATTATACAGACGTTAATTAACTCTTCTACTTAATTTTTTATCACTGAACTGGCAACGTAAAGTCGACCAGTTTTTACTATGCACCACTGAAAAATTATTGTTTGTTTCTGAGCTTTATATTTCCAAATAAACATTTTTCTCGTCATTTATTATTAAAAGTCAATCTGAAGTTGGAATACATAGTTTAGGATATTTCAATAAAATGTTTAATTACAGATCGAACATTGTAGTGTTTAATTTTTGTTCAATAATTCCCAATGATCTTGATCATTTTCATCTGGCAGAACTCGTAAATTCGAGAATTCAATTTCTGTTCTTTCTTTCTTAAAACACAATTAGTTGTATGAGTTTGTATACGTACATTAAGCACACGTATGTATATATACATTATTTCGAAATTGGCTTGTGATTATGTTAAACGATTAACCAACGATATCAATTAGTGGATCGTATCGGCGCACCGTTTAATCTGTGGAAATACGCGAGCGGGCATGAATCCAACGCGAATTTATAGGGGGATATTACTAGGACGTTGTAAATTAATAGCAGTGACAAAACTATTTGTACGGCTGATTAATGCTGCGATTCGTAATACGCAGATAACGACGATTCCAAAACGTTTCACGTAATCGATAATAGCGCGGACTATTTAAAATAATTATCATGGTTCCGATGCGTGAGTGTTACAATTGTATTGTAGTCCCGAATCCCTTTACGCGTGCCTTCCCTTTCGACGCGGTTAATGAAATCACTTCATACATGATTAAACGATTGCGGACAATTCCCTTATGAATGCAAAAGCGGACGAGCCCCTACTTGTCGTATTATTTTATCGAGTTCAGCAGCTGTACTTCTGATACAGTTACAATGTCCGCGGATCAGTTCCTTCTGTTTTGCTAATTCTGGCCGCATGTCTCCAATTATCATATTTATAAATTGCTCCTGTTCCATATTCATCCATGGAGATTGGACCCGACCGGTGGTTAATTTTTAACCCAAATACGCTTTTTGCATACACCAAACGGGAAACAACTAAACTGTTTTATCGCGCGACATCGCGAAACGTCGAATCTAAAAGCTGTGATGAATTTAAATTGGCCCATTCCATTAAGTGTCGCGAACGAAAATTGGATAGAGCAGAAATCCGACGCCCAAAATATTTTAAACGGACATCAGAGAGTCATTTGCATTTCAGCTTATTCTGCTTACGGATTTTTTTCACTTCTATTTCTCGTCCGATTATATATAGATCTCATTTATGCAAAATTTCTTTTTCCATCTTGGTGTTAGAAAAAATTTGGTGATCCAGCTCTGCGCTATCACCATGTTTTTTTTATGAGATCTAAAACTGATTTCGCTCGGACTTTATGGCTCGAGATGGGATTTATTTAAATCTAAAACGATCTTAACGAGCCCGTGCGGCGGTGAAAGCGGGCCAGCTTTTTCAAAAGATCCCGGAAGATACCGTAGCAGCGTGATTTCGTTACCGTGAAACAACGTTCGCCGCCGATTTTACAGCGAAGCTCCAGGGGTACGTAAACGCGGTAGCGGCTGCGGCGGCAGGCATCCTTCCGGTAGACGAGAAATCTCGTCAACGTAATATTCATTCTGGCGTGTTGTATGCAATTTACAGCGTGACGGGAAGCGGCACGTTCTTCGCGCTATTTAAATTGGATTGTCCGCAGTATGCCCGATGAGCGCAGATTAATCCTGGGATTAATCCCGCAAAGTACACTTAAGCGATTGTGATAGCACATCGTATGTTACGCTTCGTTTACATCCTGGACTCTTAACTGGATAGGGCAGATAAGAGAAACATTGAGCGACCGACAATTAACTAACTTAAAAAACGAATTGTCGAAATTGATCCTTGGAAGGTATTGCATTTTCCAACCGAATAACATCTATTCTGTGTTATCTCAAGATCTATTATTATAAGTCAAATTAAAGATGAAATTGTTTGGAGCAAGTACATAAAGTAGATTTGTAGCTAGATTGCACATTGGAATGTTTAAGTGACAGAGAGGTATTTGTCTAAAACACATTTGTAACCGAAAGGGTTAATATTTCTAAAAGATTCAACTAGCACCAAAGCTATCGCGCTCTCAACAGAACTCTGGAAAAAATGCCCGAGCTATACGCTACGACGATTCGTAAAAAAGCGCCTCGTGGGTACGTCTCCGAAAAAACGGTTGATCTCAGGCTCAAGGGGGAAGGATCTTTGGGTTTTCTTACAATATTATGTTTTATTTTGCATAAATATACTGTAAGTAGAAAACATGATGGAAGGTTCTTGAGCGTAGAAAATTAAATATTTCAGGCGTCAAGGTTGGTTAACTTGCGATAAGCGAAATCCGTAGGGCCGCACCAGCGATGATAAATAATAACGAAGCGTCTCTGGAATTTCACATTTAGTAAACGTAATTGCGGAAAAAATTTAATCACTTGGTCGCAATGGAAATATCGCAATGATGTAGAGTACTGTAGAGGCTAGGCGGTAATATACGATTTTTGAGGGGATGAGAAAAAGAAAAAGAAATGGCAGTGGATGCTCGAAGATCGCAAATCAAGCCGGTCGCAAATCACAGAGAAGGCAGTCGCCGCGAAAAGAATGCCATAATGTTTGAGAAAATGCGAGGCTTCTGCAACGATGCATCTGCTGCGCATTGTGATTTAATGGAACGTCGCACGGCAGCGATATGCCGCCGTTGCACCGATGCTGGGGTTTTAGTTTGTACACTTTCCGTTCTGCATATTGTGCCGACTCAACATGTGAATACTATTCTTCTTAAATCGCATTTATAGATAGTTATATGCTAAGGATAAATAAAGAGTGTTTTATGATCAGACTAAATCAGACTAAACACTTGACTACTTGATTTTGAGGCTTCTTACGAGGTAATGCTGTTACTTTTGTCTACGTTCGATTAAAATATCATGCAAGTATTCAGTACATTGATTGGATTTTGACAAATTAACTATCTATAAATAACACTAAAAACACATATCTAGAAATTACTAGTAATAGTAATGAACTATGCTAATGATGAACCGATCAATCATTGTTCGTGACCTGCGTTTGAATCTATTGATGTTCAATTGTCACGATGATCTCATATCTGTAAATTGATGATGACGCGGTTACGGATCATTTGGTAAAGAGCGGGCAGGCGTGCCGAAAATCTGTCTATTCGATTTGCAGCCAACTCAAACTTTCTCGTGAAAGGCAACGACGTTAATGGAAGACACGCTTCCGGAATCGGTGAACACTCAGAAACTTGGAACGAAACTTCGTTCGCTCTGCTACTTTCCGCTTTTTATTCAACTATCGCTGATCGATCAGTTCTCGGCCACCTTATCTTAATCAACTCTGATCGATGGTTAAATGTATAATGAATCTCACAAATTAAAGAGGTACCTTCAAGTATAAACTGTTTATTTTCAATAAAGTTACAGATTAATGACTTAAATCATTAGAACTTGTGTGTATTTCTGTAAGATTTTCTTCTGTTTTTAGTCTGCTTGCTTTTGTAGTAATAATACGATACGACCATACGTTGCAAGGATTATGACGTAGACATTTATATATTTTATACTTGCATTAAAATAGAATGCAAGAGGAATAAAAGAACACTCCAGTTCAAATAAATTCCAGAAGCGCACGAAGGATTTGGAGCATGGACGTGCGTGAAACAAGCGATGCCTATCGGTGGTTGAACGATGTCAGAGATACGCGGCTTTACTCACCGGTTTCTGTATCGCAAGAACGATATTGCGTGACGGAGGTAAAATGGAAAGGACGGATCAGGTATTTTATGAGGCCGAATATAAACGTCGCGGTCCGCAGTAGCCACGGGAAACTCATACAAACAACAATTTAGGATTTTCCTCGTTTACCGATTACGAATCCGTATTTTCTACAGTTTTTTCTATTTTCCTTGCTTTTTCCATAAAGAGTTCAGATAAGTATTGTTATCTTGTCCGAGAGTGAATTTTTCGTTGCACATTATTTTATTTAAATCGTTACGGTTTATAACTTTACCAATTTAGGTCATTGCGTTGTTAATTATTCATTTATATCAAATTTGAAAACGAGTTACAGTCAGTGAACTTTTCCGTGATTAATCGCATCAGAAAATGAGTGAATCGTTGGCGCACAAAGGAAAATCGGACGTCAGATCATACGATCGGAGTTCGATGGAAAACTATCGGGTTCCGTTCGGATCGCATTTCGTTCGAACATTGATTAAATACTCGACGTTGTATTGCAAGTACACGAAGTTGTCTGGTTTTAAATACTTCGTCGATCCGAAAGTTACATGGTTCGACAGGTAATTCATGTATTATAATTACAAGGCAATGTAATGATTTACTCAAGTTTTCATATTTAAGAGGGTATTTGACTTTCCTCTTTTTGAAGAGGTACCTGACGACCGGAAAATATTCTCATATAAGGACGCAAAGTGTATTACTGTGAATTAATATGATTTCTTTAAAATACCACAATTTTAATCAACAAAATTAGCATTCTTTCAAGAACATTTTTTATCGAAGCTCCTATGTACGCTTTCAGAACGCTATGGTTTCTTATATACGCTATCACTGTCCCGGCGATGATATTTATAACTTACTACGGTTATCTGGAATCCATGGAAAATCCGTTGTTCACTAGTGTCAGCACTGAACAGTTTCCCACGCACGAATTACATTTCCCAGGTAAAATTCGACGCGTTTAACAGAATTTGAATTACTAAAATACCTTGGCCAGCGACTATGTAATTTCTTGCGGGACGAGCTGGTCCGTTTTGGAATTGATAGATCGTTCGTTCCAATTCAGCACAGATTGCTGAAATTATGCGAATTATGGAAAGGTGTCAGCTTCGCTTTTCAGTGTTCCTAACTAAAATTGTTCAAACTGATGCCTGAATTATTCCCTCAATCATATTCTTATTTTCGTAAATAAAAGTTACTGTTATCAGTTCTTTGTTATTTTCATGTGAAATGAAAATACCCGTAAAGAAATTTTTTAGTCCTTTCATGCCGTTTAAAATTCTAAATTCCCGGGTAACATTTCCACCGATAAAATCGTATCGTTTTTTCAGGTGTAGCCATCTGCAGCATCAACCGAATAAGTCGTCGATCTGCCATGGAATTGGCAAGCGAAGTGTGAGTGGATTCTGGTATTAAATAAACACGAATGCCATTCACCGGGAGTGTGCCCGTGGCTGCAAAAAAGAGTGCAATCGAACGGTTTGACATACACACTCGTACAGAGTACCCTAGAAATCCGGGTTCCGCACGGAATAATTTCGATTACGGTCTTCTAGGCTGTAGTTTCGCGTTTAGAATTACTCCTCGTTCATAAACGAATCCCAGTGCTACACCCAGCCATTTTCAACGAAAATTCTATTTCCAATACTTACGGAACCGCGTCTATACCTCGCGTTGTAACTACGGAAATAATTTCGTGGAAACTCGTCGGACTTTACACCATGAACTTCACGCAAGAAAATGAACAGTTACCTTTAATGCACAAAACTACGAAAATGTAAAAACAAATTTCAAATCAAGTACGTAATATCGGGGCTGTGTAGTCGGAGTCGCGGAGTCGTAGTTGGTGTTGGAATGGAATTTTCGACCGCTGGACTCTGAATAGGAAGAAAGTATGCCGATTCCGACTCCATGTTAATACATTTTGTAAGAATTAATTGAAAGGTATAATAAATCTATTTCTCTTTTTCCTCGAACCATTTTATAGAATATATGACTTTGAACCTTATTTCGAATTTTATACTGCATTTTGTATAGACGCACGTTGTATCTGGGAACAAGTGTTGACACGAGTAATTTTTAATTTTTACTTTTAGTTAAAAAATTGAACCTCGGACAGAAATTTTTTATTCTTGAGTTAGCTTTCTGGCTTTTAGAATCGCTGCAGCTTAAAATGTTTTTCACCAGCAGACGAATGTATAATAAATATTTTTTTGTTACTGGCACTATTATTTTTATTATTGTTTAGCTTTATTTATCTTTATTGTTATCACAGTTTTAACTATTTAGGATGGATTTATTTTATCATGGAGTCGTAGTCGACATCGAAGTCGTGAATTTTTATTGTTGACTCTGCAGCTCTGCATAACACGCGTATATTTTACAGGAATATCCGTTAAGTTTGAAAAATACAATATTTTATGTGCACCGACCTAAAATACATTACAAACACAATACCATTTTTTTTGGCGTAGCCGGGTAAGAAAAGTTCTTGTGTACAGACTGTACCTGTTTTGTAAGTTTTGAAGTATTGATGAAATATGGTAAAATGATGTAGCGTAATACGGTTAGTTAACGAGGAATATCGGTCTCTAATAACTCGCTCGTGTATTTAGAAAAGTTCCTCGCGTTCGTGAAAAAAGCGTTCATTAAAAGTGGAACCTAAAAACACGTCCCTAATTAGCTTCGGATTCGCAAAAACTCGAACATTAATAATCAGTCAAGGAAGTTATTTTCAGACTGTATTGAAAAAAGCTTTCATTATACCATCCGACGAAGAATATTCAAATTAATTGTTTTGAGACATTTCGTGATGCAGAAATAATGTTGATATTACATTAATTCACTAAATCGTGATGTACAGCCAGTTTAACATTTAACGTAGCATGTAATTTTAAGCGAGGCGATTCGTTTTCACGAATTCATACAAACTTCACCTGTCCACTAGCGAGCGCAAGCTCGTTAATTTTCATGAAAAGCAGAATGTTTAATTTAATTTTTGACCGATATCAGGCAATATCGATTTCCCTCGTCGCTGGTTACATTTGATCATTTTTCATCGTTTACTCGACTCGTCGTGTAAACTGACCGTGTCCGTGTAAGTTGCCTAATCAATTTCAAAGCTGCCGTTCATTTTTCTCTATGCGCATCATAAATTTCAGCGTTCCGTGACAGACGTTTTTTCAACCCTTCAGATCTAATTTAATTAATATATCGTTCCCGCGCCAACAGAGTCGCCGCGAATATCTCTGATCGATCACACGACCAAATTCTGGACATGATCTTGCAACTGGGCGATCTTTATGACTCCGAGATTAAATTACAGACTCCAAAGCAGCGAATCGATCAACTTCTAGCCATCTTATACGGTGCAGCTTTCAATATCACTGATGTAATGAAACGCGTAAGTTAAATTGTCATTAAAGCAGGTATTTTCCCGTTTCTTACTCGTTAAAATTGTAGATTCTATAAATTGTTGTCCAAAGTAAAACGTTTTTAGTGCCAACTTAGAAAATACAATCTACATAGGAATTTAATTTACTCCTTAAAAACAATATGCATTTCTCTGTCGATACTCTACTTGAAGATTGAGTACATTTCTATATTTTTAACAGATACAATTTCCCTATAGATGTAGTTCAGTAATAAGCGCTTATCGAAGCCTGAGCAGGTTGATATTAACGAAGTCTGTTTGGTATTGACCGATATCCGAAGATCAAACGTTTCAGCTGACGCCAGACTGTGCCTCCATGCTGTCGAAGTGTCGATTTCACGACGAGGAACGGAACTGTACCGAAGTGTTCACGTTCCGCAAGACGCAAGACGGCTTCTGTTGCACCTTCAATTATGCCACTAAAGGAGACGACACGCCCTTGTGAGTTTCCAGTATACGTAATCTTCACCGCGCAACGTTAATGCATCATGTATGTGCTTTGCGTCACGTTTATATTTCATCAGTTTCGCCAGGTCTGCGAACTTCCGCTGGTATCCGATCTAATCCATCCGCTAATAGCTCCACGCTCAGCCTTTAGGAAATTATTTCGTAGAAAATGGCAGCGCTTCGCGTCTCCCATCTGCTTTCGCTAATTTTATAAGAAATTTTATTGTTTCTCTAGGAGTAGCATGATTGATCACCGAACAATACCGGTAAAGGTGCAGAATTTGACTGAGGTCGGAGGGTTGTCTGTGTTGTTGGAACCATTTTTAGACGATTACTTCTATTCTATCTTTCCCAGCGCAGGTTGGAGGGTAAGTTTCCATTCGACTGTATCTTCATCTCACATTTTCAATTTGCTTCAACTTGCTCAATTCTATTACGTAGCTGATAAAATTCAAATCTTTTATCTTTTCATCGAGTTTAACGTAACTCCGAATTATTTGAAGTCTCGTCAAGATTATAGTCATCCTCGTGGTTGATAGAATAATAAAATTTTCTGTTATCTTAATTCGCGGTGAAACCGGTTCGTTGCGGAGCGATTCGACAAAAATTTCCATATTCGAATCAGACGTCCGAACCGAGTTAACCGTAATTACGCCGAGACGGAAATGTGGGTCGTGGTAGCTCGCGGCGATTATCCCGTGGCGGCAACGGCAAGCGAGAGAAGGCGAGGACCGGTGCATTATGCAAATTGCAGTTTTTCCTCGTGAGCAACGAACGGCTCGCCTACACCGTAAATATGCGCCAAGCGAGTATCTCACGCGGAGCGGTGGCGGCGGCGTCGTTTCATTCGATTCGCGTCGACCTCTCGTTGTTATTCATGAATATTGGGAACTTAAACGTGCTCTCGACGCGTCTCTGTTTGTTATTTCGTCAGGTGACGATCTTCAATCCGTACGATTACCCGGATATGACTAGCGGGGGCGTGATCGACTTCCTCGTTTCACCGAAGATACACCTGAGAATGGAGGTACAGGCGATCATGTCTTACAGCGAGAGGGCTATCATACCTTACCCGTTGGAAACGCGAGACTGCGTATTTCCAGATGAGATGACTCCCCTCCGTGCATTCTACACGTACAGCGACTGCATCGTCGATTGCAAAATCGAGGACATGTTAAGAATCTGCGGCTGTGTACCCTTCTTCTTGCCGAATCGAGGTAAGAAACGATTAAGTATATTAATAATACCTAATATAGAATTTCTCTAGTGGATTATTAATTTCTAAGTGGATTATTGAAACAGGTTTACTAGGGCGAAGCATTCTTAAACGAAAACTATCGAATTGGTGCAGTCATGGGTTGTAGCATAGTAACTGGAGCAAAGTATCATTAAAAAAGGATAGGCCTTATTTTGGTGACACTTTTTTTGTATTTTACATTTTCCGATTATAATAGATGAAAATCGTCCAGATAATGAGCATAAAGGAAGAAATATGAATAGTTCCCTTAGATTATTACGCGTTAATGCGTAACGTTTAAGAGCAAAGATAGCGACAAGGCCGACACTGACGGCCAAAGGAAAGATTTAAAAGGCGCTCCAGCTCACTTTCATTTTCGCTGGGAGGGTTGAAATGAACCGCGGCGGCTGTAGACCAGGCTTGAAGCCTTTGGTAGACATTAACAGCCCCCAGTCCCTTCTTCACCCGAGATTAGAAGCTACGAGGCTGAGTCCATCTGCACGGACTCGTACCGCGCGCGAGCTTTTCAACGACTTCGCTTTCGCGGCTTAAAGCGTTAAAGCGGATCGCACCAAGCGTGAAATTAAGCGGGGGGAAAAAGGAACACCTTGACGAATTCGAAGACAATCTCAACCTCGACCTGTTTCTACCTTCGCTTTTAACAATCTAATTTCAATCCAACATCATGCTCACGTAAATAATTTTGTATTCTTAATACAAATGAAAATTTCGAGAATTTGCAAAAAGAGCTTGCAATTCTATTGAATAATTTCGCGTAATTATTTATCCTAAATTTTCATATCTCACAATCGTGGTGCATTTTATACAATTCAACACTGTTTCACTGGTTTGAAACTTTTGTTTCCCGTTGCATTTTAAATAATTAGAGGTCTTCGAATACCTAATACTGCTCAGTCCAATTAATTATTAATAACATTATCCAACGTTAATTATTCTCTGTTTTAATTAAATCCATTCGCACATTTCACAGTTCCCGTTTATTTACCGTTTCCAGGGTCCAGGAAAGTCTGTGACTTGGGAGACGTGCCGTGTTTGTTGCAACACAAATGTAAGCATTATCAAGATACTCATAGGCATAAATCATGGGAGCAATGAATTGTTCAGCTGAATTACTACCGCTCCTACATAGTTTCTCTCTCTCTCTCTCTCTTTCTCTGATTAATTAATGAACTCCTTGCAGTAGATCAATTCCGTGGGTTCGCGATGCTCGCAATTTCTCTATTTTTCGCCTGGATTAAAAATAAATTATGTAATTAGAACGGGGCTTCCTATTTTCAGCTAAATGGTTTTCCGTTATACCGCACGAGAATTTATACGAAGACAATGGCATGGACAAAGAGAAGGTTCTGCTTTGTTATAAGTGCTATCCCGAATGCAGTGCTGTCAAATACACCGCGAAACAGTTTACCACTGTCTTGAGATCAAATCAGGACGTTGTCAAATTACTGTGAGTTCCTGTTTGTTTCAACTCCGCGTAGTTACGTATCAGCTGTATTATGTTTGGATATTCGAAGGGGTGACACCAAGATCGAGGATCATGCCGCTATAACTATATTCTTTAATAAGTTTGGTACAACGAGATTAAGACAAGATGTTATCTTTCGTTGGTACGAACTTATGGGTGAGTAAAAAATAGACTAAATCTTTCACAATAGGTGCATATAAAAATCATGGATGTTACACATTTTACAGTTATGATTCAACAAATGCTTTTCATTCTATTCGTATTTTATGAAACATCTATTTTTTTTTACCGGAGCTATATATAACTTTCAGCTTATATTATGTTCGTCCCTACTGCTCGTTGTTTATACCGTATATATCAAAGGGCTCTTTAACCCGTGAATATAAAAAAATAAATATCTTATACGTAACAAGAACGTAGCAGTACTCGCATATGTACATATGATGTAAAGTGTAAGAAATTTTAGCTAGAAAGTCTCGAGAGGAGTACGATCCTAAATCAAGACAGGATTCCGTTGTGTAACGAAGAAGATTGGCGACGTGAAGTCTCCACACTATGTGTAATCCGTTAGCCAGTGGATGAAATAAAAGCTGTGGGAACAGTTTCAGCTACGAGCTGATCCATCGTGTTGTGTACATACCCGCTCACGACGTGGGTTACAAGTAGCATAATGTACTCGCGCCGGGATAAAGAAGTCGCATTTTTCGTTAGGAAAATCCACTGGCTTTCTTTCCTCGCGTAACGCGTTGCAGGGAAACATTTTTTTCCCGGCGACGTCACCTGAAAATATGAATGTCTTTCTTACGTGCCGCCGTGCTCAAAAATATAACTCACCGAGAAGAGAGCTCGCGAATTTTATTATGTACTACGTTGAACGATTGCGCGAGCATTCCGCAAACAGGAATCTTTATCTTAGTCTTCCGATGAGTTATTGCACTGCATTCAGTTGGTTGTGAGTTATTTACTAATTCAGTGGTTTCACAGGTGACGCCGCTAGTATTTGCGGCATTTTCATTGGTTTTAATTTAATCCTGATCGTTGAGTTCGTCTATTTCGTCGGGTGTTTCCTTATCGAGCTCGTAAAGGGCCCGAGCAAAGGCAAGGAGGGGATAAAAATTAAACAAACACAGATACAGACAATTTATTGGGGTTCGTTGTACTCAAACGTGAGAACGGTGGAGAACCAACGGAATCGTATTCACGGTAACACGCTTTTCGATAAAACTTTTATTCTCGTTTGTTCGTGTCAGTTGAAAAGCGTATTTCATGGAAAAACAAGAATTGTTTAGAGACAGGAAACATTCGAATGAAATTATCTGGTATGTACGTGTAGGTTCATCTTGGACAAAGAGCGACGCGACACGTGTTTGCTAGATGAATTAGCGATATTCCCCGGGTTTCTTTCTCTCCCGGGATCCAACAGAAGGGAATCCAGCCAGCTGCGATGGAACGCAGTCATGCGCCATAAGCTTCCTAACGAGCCTTTGGTATAAGCTCGCTTAAAGCATTAAAGTTGATCTCACCAAGCGTGGCATAGAATCAGAAACGGAAAAATTCTCATCGGCGTGGAAACGGTCTCTCCAACAGCGCACCGTGTTTTCGGTCACGTTCCCTCATTATTACTTGTATCAATGATTAAAATAGAAGGAACGAGATTAGTAAAATTAATCTCCACCGAACGGACGTATGGTATTGCTGTCAAAGATGCTAAATAAATTGGGCGGCGTGTTGGCCCGTGCGTAGGTTGAAATATTAGCATGGATTCTACGTAGACATGTTTATCGATGACTTCTAATGTTTAAATCACACGTTTAATCGGGCGGAAAATTGCTAGAGCGATGCGAACCATCGAGTTGACGTTTTTACGACTGCTGCATATTATCATGGAAACACGCGTCAACGATACTCGGCATTACCATAATTTTGTGTTATGAAATGACGTGAAAATACTGCTTGTCGATGTCATTAAATCCGGTCGAAAACCTACCATAATGAATGAAGTCGGACGGTGGAAGGATCGCCGATAATTGCGTAACAAGGTTTCAATTTTAAACGAGCTCTCTGATACTTTTTAATTAAAGAAACTAATTAAATTTAATTCCTCGGTTTCTTCGTTAAGAAAAATACTGTAATCCGTAAGTCCTAGCTAATAACTGATCTGAATTAAGTGCGTGGTCGTAAGATTTTTAGTTGATCTTTAAATTATAACATCAAAGTCAATGTTCATTTATTACTCATTCTTCATTGACAGAATATATGTATAATTAATGATTATAGTGCGAGTTTTAATAAAATTTTATCTCTGAATAAATGTACAATTTTTTCATTAAACTGAAAATTTGACGTACTGGCATAACGAATAAATGCCCTAATGTTGAATTAATAGTAAATTAACTAATGTGAATCGTACATTATTACAACTATTTAATTACATTAGTAACTGAATTTGGTGACTCAAATAGTGTAGCACGAATTATGCTTCGTTCATCAAATAAAGAATTAAAATTGAGCACGAAGCAATTGAAAACCATGGAGCCAATCACCATACTAATTAAATTTAGCCAAATTTTATACACTATTTGCCAATATCCAGGCGAAAATTGATTTGTCAATTATACTAATGAAAAAGTCGCACGAAGTTTTATGTCCCATCAGCACAGCGTTTAAAACTACGAACTCAGCATGTTCGATCGGTATCAAAGCTATCGGTGGGGGCCGCGTGAAGCGGGTAGGATCTTCGACAGATTAAAAGCTCAAAGTCGATGCTTTTTCGACGGTATCGTTTGTATATTTACCGGGTAATCCGGCTTTACTCCCCCATTGTTATGGAATTCGATCATTCGAACGAGGAGGTTTTGAGACGAATCGACTTTGCGCTATGGTGCTGGTCCGCCCGCAGATGAAGGCGAAATTCAGCGTGAACGAGCTATCCAGCGGAGTGAATTATTACCGGCGACTACTAGAGCCGGAGCCCGCTTTGTGGAAATAGATATTGATATCTCTTAATTGTTGCCCGGCTGTCATAATAGGCAACCTTTCAAGAGGCCGACGTGAATGGAAATGTCGGAACGTTTCCATTGACTTTCACGATTCACCCCGAGTAATCATATTCCAGCGTTTGCTGAATAACATCCAGCATTTCTCAGTCCGTTATTACCATTCTTGTAATAATATGTATAATCAATTTTCTACACTGTTTAAATGAATTCCCATACCTTTAAGGAAGTTTTTGATCATTTTAAAGGGATTTTCGCTTTAATGTTGATGTATAATATAATGGGACTTTCAATCTGACCATAGACTCTTTTGCTAATAAATAGATTCGTAATAAAAGTTCAAAGAAAAATTAAAGAGTTGCAGAAGAATAATGTAATTATTAATACAATATGACATAATATCGCAACTGGGATCTAATTTCTGATAATCTGAGAGTACATGAGAATTGTTAATCGAATAGGGACCTACTTTTCTATTAAAATCTAAAATCAATGGGAAATAGTGGTTCATCGTGTAAGAACATAAAATATGTTAAAGCCTTTTGAAATTATCAAAAAGTTCTTCAACAGTATCGACTTTTGCAAAATTGGTTAACAAAAATTACAGACTTCGATTATTATTATTAGTACATCGATCCATAAAGACGTATGGAAAATGGAATACTGGAATGTCTGATCATGCCGCACCTATTCTACTAGTGGTGGCGCGTATCAAAGCCGAGGCTCGTTTCAATAATTAGTAAATGCTTTGTTACGCCTGGGGTTAACGGCGCGGCGCGGTAATGCGGTGTTAGATCAGACCAAGCGATAATTCATACGAACAGGGATTGCGTACTTCCTCGACGAACATCTGCGGTATCGCGATTCGCTTTGTGAAATTTCAACGTAACGCTACTGCGTACAGTTATCGCCGTAGCCGCGTACAGAGGAGCAATACCAGACTTCCCACATATCCGCAGCGTTTCATCTCTGCTTCTCCATGGCTCGTACTGTTTACTTTGGAAATTCATTAACAGAAATAATTAGTAACAGCGGTATGTTTGACGCATGAACACACGCAGCCGTTTCGTTTATCTGGTTTGCGTTTGTAATCAAATAGGCCTTCTCTTCTTGTTCTCCAGTATAGTCGGAATTCCTGGCATCTGCTTTTATCAGATTGATGCATAATAAGTGTTCTTAAAGTAAAACGTTGTATGCACATGATGTGTCTTACAATCTATAATTTTCAGTTGGAATGGGTGCGTATGTGCACAGTATGAAGGCATCAAATGCGTTGTCATTGCAATTAATACGCGTTAAGGCGAAAATTGGAATCTTTATAGTTCACTGGGAACGAAAATCTATTCGCAAACGTGTACCTATGCACTTTTAACTGTTCGATTTTTTTAAATTCACTCACTCGGACAACATTCTTTTCTATTTCCTCGAGAAAGTACAATATAAAAATTTATTCTACAATGCGAATTTAATGAAAGTATATCGCTGAAAATTGAACGCAATTAAGGCCCATGAAATCGGATAACTTCCATACCCATGAACGACCAAATCTCTGAAAAAAAGAAAAAAACGAACCGAGAGGCGTCGATTACTGCTTTGTTTTTAAATAACAGTGCGTGCCACGTATGCCACGTAACTGATGCACAGTGTTGTTCCATAAATCTGCTCCGAGCTAGGTAAATGGTACAAAATCGTGAAAGGATAATCCGGGCTTTGTTTAAAAGTTCGATAGCTGTATAACTCCCACGATTTGAGTGAAATTGCTCGTCCCATTCCATTACAGAATTAAAAGAGTTATTATAAATATTATCCGAATTTTAATGGTAACTTTAAAATGTACAGTGATTATCGATGTCGAAGGTACTAGTTTATTTCGTATCACATCACTGAAGTAGTTTAAACATAGTGTCAGTGAAACATCTAAAATTATTAATAAAGAAAAATAATTTGTGATCCTTTCCATCATGTACCTTGTAGTCTACGGAGTTAGTGAACAATAATCTTTTATAATACGATATAGAACAAATATTACAAGATAAACCATTAAATCGGGTATTGTGAGTAAAACGGTTACGTACAAACTTCAAACAGAGTTATTTCTCAAAAGCAAGCATGCTTGCAACTGAATTACACGATAAAACAACCTGGATAGACCCGAAAGCGAAACACCGAGACAGCGACTGCAAGTTACTCAGAAGTGTTAATACCTTGGCAAACAATCGCGAATAAATTCCCTGCGACTAAAGTCGACGGCACTGCACAGCGCGAGAATCCCCGTGCGAACTAGTACAGAAACGTTCGCGACGAATGATTCCAACTGAAGGCGACGGACTCTGCTAACGTATCAACAATGGTAAGGCGCGGCCGAGTGTACTACGTACAATGGAGATTCGATTAACGTCATGTAAACTTGATCTAATTTACGTGCGCCACTCGCTCGTCCCTGCACGAAGCTTGCAAGGTTGTCGCCGTCGTCGCCGACGGTTGCACGTGCATCTACCTTGTAATGTATTCACGACCGGCCGCGATTTCATAACGACACACGTACGCAACACCAGTGACACGCTTGGGACGATAGAGCGTGAGATAGACGAGACTGGATTGCAGCAAGTGCACTCAAACTCACTGAATCATGTTGGTCACGAAACACCCAATGAAGTCCTTCAAGTTTTGTTCCTTTAATAACTGAGGCGCAAGGTTAATCGATTGTTCGAATCACTTGTTGAACAATAGATTCCGTACTCAGTTTTCAGGTCATACCTTGATCAGGATTTTGTAAGAATAAAATGATTATTGCCTTAAACACTAAATGTCTTAAAAAGCTATATTACCTAACGTCAAAACTATAGACGTGCTTTGAAGCTTAATCAAGCTTTCCAACAGTAACGGAGAACTGACCGTACGTGAGATGAACGAGCTGAATCGGTAATCAAGACCAAGATACATGATCCTTTTGACATGGAATCGTTATATCACGCCTGGCGACCAGCGCAGCGAGCAGAATGCGTTTTACGATTCTCATACCTGAATAATAACAATTCTACCACTGAATCCTGTTAGAGGAATAACGAATATAATTGCTTAATGTCCCGAACTTAAATTTCTTCTTTATTGATGGATATTTTTTTTATGAAATTTCATCATAACACAAATATTTTCATCTCTGGTTCTCTTATTAACGGTTTCAATAAAAATAATTTTCAGTCCACACCCTTCAATCAGTGACTTAATTAAAAATTTACTGCATCAAATATCCTCACCCGTACATTGATATCCAGAGTAATTCAATATAAACTCGTTTTAACTTTATTCCGCCTGCAGGCTCGTTTATCTCCATCGTGTTTTTCGTGTGCGCACACAC